CTCCTCCTCCTCCTCCTCCTCCTCCCCTTCCTCCTCGACCCAGCCTGAACGCGAAAGAGTTCGTCCGCACCACATGCCGCTTACGCCACCACATGGCCATAGCCAGAGGCGGGTGGCGCCTCCCGAAACAGTGCAATCCGTCAGGTGAGTTGCACCACCCCAGCCTGGATGACCGAGGCGGTGTGCAAAGGTTCAACTAAATACCGCCAGACCCGGTTGACTTGAAACCTGGCAGGCGAGCGGGTGAGGCCAGCACGCACACGGGCACCCCAGGTGCCATGTGCAGGAGGTCCTCGGCAGCCGAGAGATAGGTTCGCAGAGATCTTGACCCCTCCCAGGCCACACACCACACACACACAGTACACCACAGCCTCCGCCCCCCGCCCCCAACAACGGCGAAGGGATGCATCACGCGCGCTCTCTCGTCGGCGAGCTGCACGCGCACAGACGCCAAATCGGATCGCGAGAGACTGCGCGGTGCAACGGGCAACGGTGGCTCGACAATTAGGCCACGCACGGGGCGACTCGCACACCCTTGGCCTCGAGCGACACGCTGCTTCTTTGAGACATGCTCACAGTCGAAGTCACACATACGCGGGCCGATGCGGGCAACCCAGCGAGCCCACCCAGCAAGCACCAGGGCCTTGGCCTTGTGGGTCTCGCGGAGCTCAGAGGGAACACGGGCCCTCGAGGCAAACCACTGGGCCCAGTCGTCAGCCTTCTTTTTCGAAGCGCGAGGACAGGCCAGATTGGATGCGAGCTTCTGTACAATGTCCTCTCACGTTGCGGATCACGATGTTATCAGCTCCTCCCCAATCCGGAATGCGCTGCCAGACCTGGACCCACAGCTCTGACCAGGCGGCGCGCGAAGAGCAACAGAATGCCTGACCACGCAGGTGGACTCCGTCGCGCACGAACGCCGAGTCCGTGTAAAAAGCGCTGCCTGGCACGCTGCGCTTCAGAACACGATAAAAAGCAAACAGCTCGGCATAGTCAATATCCTGACAGACGTGCGAAGCCGCACCACACAACACAGAGTTGACACGATATGGGTACTGGGGGCTGCACACTGAGGATGGCCCATGCGACTGCTTGCGCATGCGACGGTAGGCGCTGGTCCATCCAGCTGCCTTCTAGAAAAAGGTGTCCTGACATCTGGGTGGGGCCTCCACCAAACCACCTGTCGGGTAGGGAGGTGGCAGGAGGGACGGGGGCATCAGGGACGAGGGGCCTCTCGGCGAACAAGAGAGGGAGGGGGGCAACACTCGCTCTGACCACGGAATCTAGAAACTCGGGCGCGGCTTCACCAGCAGCGATGTCGCGGCGGCCACCGCAGCTCGCATGCCTGCGAAGCAGCGCGCCAGGAGCCTCGCGACACAACTGACAATGAGGCTCGGCCGTGAATTCTGCCACCCACTGCCTGCGTTGAGGCCACTGCCCTCCACACACACAACACTCCTGAGATAAGCCTTCTCGCCAGCTCGCAGGGCTTTCGAGGCAAGCAGGCTGCGCAAAGGCTGATGATTGCACCCGAGGGAGAGCTCAGGGACACCCTCTCTGGAGGCCATTTATTCCATAACCACTGTTGCACGACACCATTGAGCCACTCGTTGACAGCGCGTGGGCCGCACGCAGAGATCTCACCAGCAGTGGGGCGTCGCCACGCAAAATCCTGCACGTCAATGCCGAGGCGCAGCGCCGTGGCTGCTCAGTCAGAAGGGGCCTCGGATACTCGCCAAAGGGTTGCCATTACCACGAAGCCCGCCAACCGCATCTCGCAAGCCTTGTGCGAGCATCGCACGCGCCGGCCATCGTTCCCTAACTGCGGTGGCTAGCTGAAGCAACGGTGCGCACTGCAACTCGAAGGCAGGACCGATACCACGGCGCTCACTGAGCAGAAACATCCGAGTGACCGACTTGCCATCAAAATGATGCGCGTGCACACGCGCTCTCTGCATGCGCGCCTGTCTAAGATCAGCGGCTGTAGTACCAAAAACTTAGCACACATATGCAAACGAAGAAAGGGAAGCACTGCGAATCATGTTGCGCGGCTGGCGTTTGCGCACACAGCTGGACAAAGCGAGTAGCTTGCGCGCTCGAGCACACGCAGGCTGCTTGCGGCTGACGCGCGCATACTGCCTGTACACTTTTGCAGCGGCAAAATCAATGCCAATATTACTCTCAGTGCGAGCGCCCTTGAGTTTGACGGAACGGAGCTTGGCCTCGGAGTTCTCACGGAGGCTGGATGAGGAGGCCAGAACACAACGCTTTTTTAAAGGCGACAGGCAGACTGACCTTGTTAAGCTGCACGCGCAGCTTGCGCGTGGCCCCAGCCAGCTCGAGCACGACATCTCGTTCGCGCCCAAGCCTCTGCAGCCCAAAACCATCGACCACGTTGCCAAGATGCACACGGGGAAAAGAAGCCTGCGCTGCATCCAAAGGTGCTAGAATCACCAGCTGTAGCATCAAGGTTGCAAAATGACAGCCTGGAAGAACGGCTTGCAGGGTGCGCACAGGAGTAGACACGGCATCACCAAGGGCGAGCACTCGATGGCAACGATATAGCTCGACTAATAGCTCGAGCTGCCGCACAGGAATCCCTGTGCGCAGCGCCGCCTGCAATAGAACATCATGTATGATATGACCGAAGGCCTTGGCAAGGTCGAGGAGGATAAAACCTCGCGCGCGATCCCACTCAGCGCTGCTAGCTTGGATCCAGACCAACTTCTCCGACGACCGTCCAGTCGTGGACCACCAATAACTGCGATCGCGCTGCTGCTGCCACTCCGCTACCAGCGGCTTCCTCAGCCGTCCTTGAACGCGCGCTAAGATGTGGATGAGCGCGATGGGGCGAAAGCCACCATCGCGCTTTGAAAAGGAAAACTATGTTGGTCCAGATGGCTGGCCAGGTGCAGGACACTTCTACCTCGACGAGGATGTCGAGGGAGGCCTCGAGTGCCTCATCAGATAACGCAAGCAGCTGCCGAGGGCACAGCTGGTCAAACCCGCAGCCTGAGCGGCGAGGAAACGAACGCACGCAGGCATTGAGCTCTTCCAGCGTGGGCCTCACGAAGCGTGGCCAGAGGCATGTCCAATATTCCACCACCCAGCCCACTCCCGCTCAAGAGCCCCCACCTCCTCCTGAAGGGCGCAAGGCTTGCCAGCTGCAATGGGGCCGGCGCGCCAGGGAACAGCAGGTCTGGAAAAAAAGCGCACAGTGCAGCAGCGCCGTCGACGGAGCGCCGTCGCACCCAATCTCCCCAGCCTGCTTGCTTGCCGCGCTCGGCTTCTTTGAATACAGCAACAGCCCGAGCGCCAGCGGCCTTCGCCGCGGCAGATGCCGACGCATACGGCAGCGAGAAGGCCAGCTGAAGCAGCAGCATCCATGGCTCAGCTTCTTCCGACGACACACCACTAGACCTGGGCTTCGCCTGGACACTGCGTCCTAGCCGCATGGTGCCTGCCCTTAAATTGGGGGGCTGCCAGCGAGCTAGGCCTTCGAAACAGCGAGCGAGCAGGCGCCACCAGAGAGCGGCAGGACTGGGAACAGAGAATGCTAGCGATTGTGGAAACAGTGGCCTGCGCTGTGCGAACTGCAACGGTTGCGCTCTGCCAAAATACTCGGGGTTCGCCGCAGGAATGAGGTCGCGCACGTCGGCTAAATCAAACTCAGCGCTGGTGGCCCACAGCCGCCACTTCTGATTCAAAGAGGTGCCCTTCATCTGCCGAGCGCAGTGCGTCCAACGCGGGGTGGGGCCCGCCCTCCTGCACCCGATGGGGGCATCTGAAAGGAAACGACGAGGCACCTGCACGGTGCGATACTCGAGCCCAGCCTGCGGTAGCGATGGCAACGTTAGCACAACAGGAAAGCGATGCGCCGCGCCAGCATCAAAAAACAATCTCTAGGGTGGCATTGTGCGCGAGTGACTGCGAGACAACGAAATAATCAATAGTGCGCCCAGCAGAGGCAGAGGCATTAGTGCAGGTGGCGGCAGACGGGAAGAGGCAGACCCCGCCAATCGCTTCGACCCACAGACTGCCCTGAAGCTCCTCAGGTGGCATCTGAAAATCGCCACAGATCACAACAGGCAAACCGACAGACTGGACTACTCGTCCAACATATGCGGGGATACTCCAGATTCTCTTGGATCCCTTGAGAATGGTGCAAATGCACACTGACCCACAAGAACCCCGAAAGGCGTGAGCCCATGACTACGCAGGATTCTCACTCTGCCATTACGCAACGAACTGTCAACACACTCCACCTCGGCCAGCCCTGACGCCGCTGGGACACACTGGAGCAGTCCGCCTGTGCTGCCGCCGCTCGTGGCGGCAGCGGCGGCAGCGAAGGCGGCTTTCCAACCTAATGAGCGGAGCTTGTGCTCCCAAATATCACACTGAGCGCGCAACATGCGATGCCCCTGCACAGCGACGGCGCGCGCACCACGAATGCGATCATGCATGGGCGCAGCCTCCCAGCCGCTGCGCCATGAGACGGGGACCGCGACAAGATTCAGGCTAAAGATCCGCTTCAGCCACGCCATCCACACGAGCCTTCTTCTTGGCAGCCCCCACGAGCTGGTCGAAGATGCAGCACCGCCTGGAGCGCCTGCATCACCATCAGGAAGGATGACGTCGGGCTCGGGCGGCTTCGACAGCTCCTGCAAGGTGGGCACCAGCGCCTGCAACTGCTGCGCGAAGGCCGCCAGCCTGGGGTCTGCCTTGAGCCCGTCCGCCAGCGCCGAGAGCGCGAGTGCGGGGGCCGGTGATCGAAGCCATGCCTTGGTAGGCCTTGGCTGCCCGCGCTGCGGCCTCCGCGCAACGCCCCTCGGCCTCGTCGAGCTCCTGCTTGGCGGCCGCTGCTGTCGCCACCGCCTTGAGCGCTGCAGCCTGAGCACGATCGCAGGCCCGCTGGGCCTTGTCGCGCTTGTCCGCCAAGACGTCCTGCTCGATCCTGGCCGAGCGCGCCTCGGCGCGCGGCTCCCCAGCCAGCAGCGCGCGGTGGGCGACCACCTTGGCGACCAGCTTGGGCGTCCACTCCGCAGAGACCGCCTCGAAGTCCGCGGCCTCGAGCTTCGCGTAGATACCGATGGCCGCAGGGTCCAGGTAGGAGACCTTGCCCTGCGAGGAGGCACCCCTGCCGCCACCAACACCGCCACCTGCGCCGCCACCACGCTGACCGCCGCCGCCTGCCTGGGGCGGCCCTTGCAGCCATGCGCCGAGGGAGCGCGGGCCCGCCACCGAAGGCGCTAGGCCCGAGGGCGCGGGGCGGCCGCACACGCGGCAGTGCGTGCGCGAGAGAAAGTTGAAGCGGTAACCACACCGTTTGTGCTGACACTGCCTGGAGTCGAAGGAGCCGCCGCCATGTCGCTGCGGGGACATTCGAGCCTGACGGGTCGTAGATACAGAAGAAGCAAAAAACCCTCGCCTGACGGAACGACGAGGCATGACTGTGGGGGCCGTCACTCCACCGCGCCAGTGATGTCAGGTCCTGTGCCAAAACACTGCGGACTTGAGCCAAAATGGTTACGGATCCTCCTCATCTTCTTTTTCTTATTATGAGTATTAGTATGATTCGTAGTATTAGTAGTATTGTTCTTATTAGTAATATGTTTAGTGTTATGAATATCCCTCTTCTTTGTATTATGATTATTCTTATTATTAACATCGGTATTATTATTCGTATACTAAATTTTCGTCTTATCCGTCGTCTGTTTGTAAGTATTCTTCTTAATAGTATCATCATTATTCGTAGTAACACATGATTCGCATTACTATTCTTAGTATCATTATTATAGGTATTGTTAACATCATTAGTAGTATTATGATTAGTATTGTTATTACTATGTTTATTATGCTTATCCTGCTTACTATTATCATTATTATTCCTCCTCCTCCTCCTGCTCCTCCTCCTCCTCCACCTCCTCCTCCTCCTCATCATCACCCTCCTCCTCCTCCTCCTCCTCCTCCTCCTCCTCCTCCTCCTCCTCTCTCCCCCTTCTTCCTCCTCTCCTCCTCCTCCTCCTCCTCCTCCTCCTCCTCCTCCTCCCTCCTCCTCCTCCTCCTCCTCCTCCCCCTCCTCCCCCTTTTTTCCTCCCCCTTCTTCCTCCTCCTCCTCCTCCTCCTCCTCCTCCTCCTCCTCCTCCTCCTCCTCCTCCTCCTCCTCCTCCCCTCCGCGGCAGCGGTCGGGGTCCCAGGGCCTCGCTGATCGCCGGAATCTCGAGCTCGAGACCGGAGGGGACGGCCGACCCGTTGCTCGGCATCCGCTTCGACGCTTGCTTGTCGTCGCCCTTGTCGGTGCGGGCCTCCCGAGAAGACGACGACGACTACGATATCGACGACGACGACGACGACGACGACGACGACGACGGCGACGACAACGACGACGACGGCTTCTTTGCCGGCTGATAGGCATCAGCCTCGGCTGGCCTTCGGCTCCAGCTGAAACCGAAACCAAGTGGATGGTCGAACGAACCAGAGCGTGGCCCTCTGCAGCCGCTGATCAACCCAAGTGTCACGGATACTCGCCCAAGACTCCGAATCCTTAGCATGGGCCTTACAATCACGACCTACTGAGCGCACAAATCGAAGCTCTCACCTCACTGCCTCGAAGTTGTGCCCAGTGCTTGCACGAATGGGCTCTTACGTTCTCCCCGAGACAGTGCACGCACTCATAGGCTCTCACTTGTTCCTGAGACAGTGCTTGCACTTAGGAATTCTTATGTGTCGTTACACATTGTACCAAACTTCTTGGATTTCGGCGGATGCCTGGCCGCGGGCCCTTGGCGGGCACCCCGCGCGCGCTGGCTGGAATCCTCAGGTTCTGGCCGCGGGCGCACGGTTGGCGCCACATGGCTTATATACAACACAGATCTTACCTTAACAACAGCAAAAAACGTGGATATACTCCCTTCGCGAGGCCAGGAGAAACTCAACCCTGAGACCCCAGGGCACCCATTCATTTTTGGCGTGGGAACGTCATGCTTTCCATGGCAAAACTATCGAAACCCAAGAAACCCAGGGCACCCTGGAGGCAAGCAGGGTGTGTCTGGAGAAAAGCAAGGTGTTTCTTGGCATGGACCCCCACTGTATCAGAAGCCATTGGTCCTTGAACAAAACATGCCCATAAGTATGCGTGCGCACTCGCTGACAGCTTAGAAAAAACCATTCGGCATTTAGCTATTCGTTCACATGAGACTCTTGTCGGTGCACCAGCCTGCCTGCGTCCTGCGCCAGCACGGAAACTTCCCGACAGCAGAACGGATACGTCATCGCGCTGCCGTCAATGTCAAAGCAATTCCGCCGCTCTGCTGGGGCGGCCACTGAGGCGCCGCCGGTGGGATGGCGGACAGGAGGCAGGACGAAGAGCAGGACGGGCGAGGACTGGAGGGCGGGGAGGGAAAGGGAGGGAGGAGGAAGACCGACACCAAGAAGAATGCCACGCCTGGAAGGCCCGGCCGGCCAAGTCAAAAGCACGGGTCTTCAAGGACGCCTGGTGCGTAGGCAAGGAGAGGTGGGGGCGCAGGAGTCCAAACACAACGGTCCGGCAGCCACCAATACAAGCCGATCCCCCAAACGAGGTGGCAGTCACCCAGCCACGGCCCAGCCATGACGAGGCACAGCCCCTTCATTTACGGGGTTCGCTGATCCACGCTCCCGGACATGGGAAAACAATCAAATACCTTATGCACGCCCTGCGCGGCGGAAGGGTCCCGCGCGAGCGGGCCCGCACGGGCCCGCGCGGGCGCGAATAAGGAAACCTGCGCACTTAGCGGAAGAAGGGGAGGAGGAGGAGGAGGAGGAGGAGAAGGAGGAGGAGACACCTGGCACTCAACGCGGGGGACAAAAAATCCTGCCCCCGAGAACGGGCAGTGCCCTGGGACTCGGGCAAGAACATAGAAATGCAACGGGGCGGGAAATCGGCAGTTAAGACGATACGAATCGGCGCCGCGTTAGGAGCAAGGGGAGACGAGGACGAGGAAGGAGGAAGAGAAGAGGAAAGGAAGACAGCACTGGCCCCGGGGAAAACGGGGTAAAAAAAGAGCGCTCCGGCGAGAACCGCCCATCACGTAGCTCCGGCAGGGGCCTGCGCCCGCGTCGGGGCGCCGGCGGCCGTCCAGCATCAGCTGTCCGCCGCCGATTGCTCCTCGTCCTGCACGTCGTCGACCGAGCTTGCACTCGCCGGCGCAGCCGCAGAGATGCGGCAGGCATGACCGAGCAGTCATCGCAACTGCCGCCTTGGTCCTGCAAACCAAGTCACGAGGGTGGGATAATGGCGCGAGCAGTGAAGTTGACAACCCATGAGTTGGCATAAATGGGTTGCACCACACAGCTTACAGGGCAGTTTTAAATACATAAGATTTTAAAAACATATGATTGTTTATACATGGTTAAGGTATGAATGAATGTATGCATGAACTCATCGTTGTTTTTACTACTACATCCCTGCATGTTTGATACATGATCCGCACGCGGAGCATGTATTAAAAACGGCACTGTACACCACGCCGCTGGTGGCGGCGGCGGCAGCGGGCATCGTGGCGGCCGCGGCGGCGCGCAGAGGCGCGCGCCTGCGCCAGGGCCTCCCCGGCCCTGCCGTCGCCCTGCTCGTCGTCCGACTCCTCGGGGGAAATGAGGCCTCGGCGCGCACCGGGCGAGGAGCCGGGGGCGCCGCCGGCCTCCTCCTCCTCCGAATCCCTCCTCCTCGCCATCCCCCTGCTCAGCCTCCAGCTCCCGATCCTCTCTTCGGGCCCCTCCGCCTGCCCCAGCATGCTCCCCTTGCCGCTCCTTCCCCCATCTCGTCCCCCCCCCTCTGCCCTCCATCCCCCTCCTCCTCCCTCGTCCCCCTCTTCCTCGTCCTGCCATCCTGCTCGTCCCACTGGGAGGAGCAACGGTGAGGACGACGACGCTGACGGCAACGGCAACGGCCAACTTGCGAACCTGGAATCCCACAAGCTGCTTTGACATTCACTTGTATCTCCCTCTCTGGCGCACCCGCCCGCTAAATATGTGTACCAACCCCCTTTATTAGGGGGTGTCCGTTTCACACCAGCACCTTGGAAAAGCATTCAGCAGCGCACTCCGCATACGCACCACACCGCCATGGCCGTCATGCGAACAAACGTGTCCGCGGGAAACTCACAATTTTGATTCAGATGCGAGGATTTCTCGAGCGAGAGCGCCGTTCCTGAGTGCGAGGGGCCCCTCTGGCCAGAACATATCGCAGTAAAGTTAAAGGAAATATCGTACGACATCCGTGGTCGTCGCAGCTCGGCCGTCAGCAAATTGACAGAATCGCGAAAATCTGGGGCGACAGCACCGTTCCTGAGTTTCGTGGCCTCTATGGTGAGGGCGTCTCGGAGTAAATTGTGAGGATGTATAGAGCGGAAGCAGTGGTCGTCGTAGCTGGGCTTTTACCACCTTGACTGAATAGCGAGGAAAACTTCAGCGAAAACGCCGTTCATGAGGTCGGGGGCCTGTCTGGCAAGGGCGTCTCCGATTAAAGTGCGAGGAAGTATCGAGCTGGGACATTGGTCGTCGTAGCTGTGCCGTCACCAACTTGACTGTACTACGATGAAGCCTCCAACGCACCGCCATTCCTGAGCTCGGGGGCCTGTCTGGCCAAGGCGTCTCGGAATCCATGGTAAGGAAGTGTCAAGCAGGAGCCGGTGCCGTCGTACTTGGGCCGTCACCAGCTTGACGGAATGGCGAGGAAGTCTGGGGAGGGAGCGCCGCTCTTGAGTTCTCGGGCCTCTCTGGCATCGGTGTAAACTGTAAGGGAATATCGAAAAGGGGGCAGTTGTGATCGAAAATGGGGTTTCGACGACCCACATTTGCATGCAAGCCCGCGCTCGACCGGGAACCTCGCGTTCAAAGGAAATGCAATCGAAGCAGAACGCCCAGAAACATTTTCACGTATCAAAACCATTGCTCTTGGATGAAAGGAATGCCATATTGGGAACATGTAATTAAACAACTCGGTTCGACTTTAACTTGTTCCCCCCCTCCCACGCACCCGCTCGCTAAATCTTGGAACGGCATCATTTGTGGAGAGCTCTTTCCACACATATCCGAAGAGAAGCAGTCGCCAGTGCATTTTTGCGCGCGCTTCGCGCCGCCACGATCGCCATGCCAATTGACTCACCCGCGGACAACTCGCCAACTCTAGTAAAATGCGCGGAAATCTCCGGAAAATGTCTCGCCGATGTTCGTGGGAGCAAGAAGGTCTCCGCAAGATTGGCTGAATCACGAGGAATGACGACGGAGCGACAGCGCCAGAGGCGAGGGCGCCCCGAACTGTTTCCAAAAACCAACAGCACTCACCCTCTAGAACTGATCATTCGAGGCCAGGTCGCCACGACCCAGAAGACTCCGCCGACGGCGAAAAACCATGACAACGAAGCCCGACGATGGACAACGAGGACGACGATCAAGATGATGCCGATGAGGATGATGATGGCGATGGTGAAAATGATTTTCCCCACGGACCGACGGTGAAGAGCGAAGTGACAATCTATCAAGTCTGCCACGAGGGCGGCAATAGAACACATCGACTGGGACGAACGGTTCAGGCACCGGGCGCAATCAGCGCCAGGCCGTCTCAAGGGACGGGCGCTCATTCTTCGGCGGGCCAAGAGCACGCAGAGCAAGAAGAGAGAGTAGACGATCAGGTGCGACTGGGCTGAACAGTCAGCTCGCTGCCGGAGAGAGTCGGGGAGCCACCATGAGGGCGGCGGCGGCAGGCACGGGCGGGGGTGCGCTCGAGCTTTTTCAAGACCTCGCGCACGGGCGCGGGCGGACAAAACGAGGCAAGCCGATGCGAGCAGCCACAGCCTGGTCGCATCAGTTGTGCGCCACAGAGGCGCCGACCGCTGAACACACACCACGGCGACGAGGTCGAGGCTGCACCCGCGGCAGTGCCAAGGGGCTCTGCGATCGCCCCGAGACAGCAAGGCGGCAGCAGCATCCCGCCGATGTGCATGACCGACATGGAAGGCGGGCGGCGCGGGCCGCGGAAAAACAACACAAAATAAAACGCGCGCCCTCGCAGCAGAGAGCGGACAAGAGAGGCTAGGCTGCCAGCTGAGAGATCGTCGCACCCGACTTTTCGCGAGCAGACGCGACCGCGGGCAGACCGGGGCCCACGAAGGGAACCCACGGCGAAGGGCAGAGCAACCGCCAGCAGCAGCAACGGCAGAAGCACAGCGGTGCAGCAGCAGGAGGGACACGCAGGAGGGGACGCACGGCAGCAGCAACAGCGACGACAGCAAAAGCAGCAGGGGAGCACACAAAGAGGACGGAGAACAGACAAACGAGACTACATCCAACTGAGACAGAGAGCGGAACGCTCGAACTTGTCAGGACCTCACGCGCGCGAAGGCAAGCAAGGCAAGGTCAACTGTGCATGGAAAAACGGTTGACCTTGTGGCCATACGCCCCGGTTTCCCTCCCAAAGGCCTTGGCTCGCCTTTGACTGCGGCCAGGTCCCCGAAAGCCCTGCCCAGCCGCGACTCACGGGAACGCCCCGAAAGGGGGAAGACCGTCGGCAATACCTCCTGTCAGCGGCGGCGGCAACGGCGGCGACGACGACTGCGACGACGACGGCACGGGGACCCCATGCCAAGATCAGGGCAAAAAGTGCCGCGGAACCACCGCCCCTGCAGGCAGGAGCAGCAACAGGGGGACGGGGTGAGGAGTGGTGGAGAGGGGAAAGACCAAGACAGATCCACGACCCCCCAAAACCCAAACGCCGCCACCGTCAAAATCAAACACGCCCGAAAAACGACGCGCTTAAACAAACATACAAACAGACAGCGCCGAAGAACCCCTAACAGGGGGCTCATAGATCAAATTCACCCCGGCACCCAATACAAAAATTAGAAGAAAAAATATCCCGGACCCAAAACGGAAACGGACGCGACTTTCCCGGGGAAATGGAGAACAACGGAAGACGCCCCTTCCCGCACAGAGGAGGGGTGGCCGGGCCCGAAGGCGGCCCTAAGAGGTTCACGTCACCGAACATGGGTGTTCACAAAACAGAAATTATCGGGAACCGTCCCACATGTGAGTGACCCACTTCCTGGAGTGCGGGGACAGGACACACAGGAAAAGGTCGCTCGCAGAAGGACGCGGCCCATGGCCCCAAAATACTGTGATGGACAAAAACAAAAATTCAAGGCAGACCCAAACAGGAAGATCGACGGAAGAAGCAACATAATGAGACGACGGGAAGGGCCAAAATAAAACACGCGACGCCAAGAGAAGAAGCCCAACGACGAAGCTAAGGAGATCGAGATGTGCAGAACCAGCCTCAAAGCATCAGAATTCCCCAATGCACAATGTCGCCGTTCGGCAACCACGCTTTCTTTTCTGGGAGGTCTTAGGGCCACAAATGCCTGCCACCAGTTCGAATAACGACTTGCTTTCGGCCGTTGGCCCAGGACCCTGCGGGTAGCACCTGTTCAGGAACGGGCGCGGGAATCCCCGGCGTCGGTCGCTGGAGTCTCAATCATCAATCGGAAGCGCATGCAAGCGACGCGCCTGCCGAATCTGCGGCCCCTAAGATGCACTGTGAAAAGCTGCAAACAGCACGGCAAAGCATAACGCCATGCGCTGCGCCACTGGGACTGACCACAAGGCGCGCAAGCTCACACTTGGCAACACAGTCGACCCAGGCGCTAACCCTAAAACGATGACACAGCGCCACGGACACACCGGGCGTTGCCACGGGCGCAGCGCGGCACGAACATCGCGGCGCGCCACAGCAAGAACAGTCGCCGACGCGGCGGGCCCCCCAGCGCAATCACAACAGTAGCGCCAGATTCCCCCAACGCCCTCGGAGACTGACCTCGGCGATCGTCTACGTGTCTTGCGTCGGTTCCTCCCAACGCAATGGGGGGCGCACCTCGGAGGGGGCCCCCAGCGTCGGGCCCCCCCCCCGCCCGCGGGAAGCGACCTCGCGGAGTGCTCGGCGCCAGGCCCCCCCATCGCAGAAAGAAGCAACCTCGAAAAGTCCTCGGCGTCGGGCCCCCGCACCGCAGGAGCGCGCGCGCCCGCGCCTCCCCCCCCGCCCCCCCCGCGCGCCGCGCCCCCCCGCCCCCCTGGAAGGAGGGCGGCGCAGGAAGTCCAACGGCGATCTCGAAGGCGGCAGCTCTGGCCGCCAGTGAACACGCGACGCCGCGGGCCCGCGCGACCGCCCTCGCCCTGAGTAGATAGAAGACGACGGCTCGCGGCCGCGAGCCTAGTTTCTAACAGGCTTGCTGGACCCTCGCACGGACGAGCCCCCCCGCGCGCCTTGTCTCCCAGTTTGGGGCCGAGGCGCACCATTAGGCGCTTCGTCGCCAGGGCCAGCGGCCCCCTGAGGGCGAGCGTTCTGGAGGCAACCCTTCTCACGAGACTGTTGCGGCCTTGTCCTCTGTTGCCTGCGCGCGCAAAGGCGCACTTTCCCCCGCGCTTGCAACGCCCGCCCCTGTCACGCCGGCACATCGGCCCGCGCCGTTCCTCGCACTGCGGTTTGGAGCACTTGCCTGTCATGGCGCACTCTCCGAAGAAACTGCGAACCCCCAACTTGTTAATCGGTCCTATAATCCTTGTCTTATAGTGCCCTGGGTGATACCACGGGCAGTCCTCTGCATCGCA